AGTAAAGGAAAGGTATGTCTGCTCTGGTCCCAGCTCTGGGAAGTGATTTAAGAGGTTGTACGTTGCTGGGCAGTAGTGGGAAACATCTTTAATCCCAGTACTCAGGAAGCAAAGACAGGCAGTTCTCTGTGAATTCAAGGCTAAACTGATCTACAGACAGACTTCCAGGATAGTCAGGGCTACACAGAGGGATCCTATCTAGGGGAGGGGAGGGAGGAGGAGGAGGAAGAGGAGGAGGAAGAAGAGGAGGAGGAGGAAGAGGAGGAGGAGGAAGAAGAGGAAGAGGAGGAGGAGGAAGAGTAGGGGAGGAGGGGAGGAGGAGGAGAGGGAGGGGGAGGGGGAAGGGAAGGGAAGGGAAGGGGAAGAGGAAGAAGAAGAAGACAACAACGATGAAGACAATGACAGGGGACAGGAGAGGGAGAGACAGAGACAGAGAGAGGAGCACCCTGGGGTCAACCACTGGTTCTGAACTCCCTTGTAAGATGCCTTCTTGCAGATTGTCCTTCCCTGTCCTGTTCTTCCTCCTTCAGCAGTGGATCAGATGATTTCCTCAGCAAACACTGTACTCTCGATACCATTAACTTTATGCTACGCTGTTTATGTAACAAACATAAAGAACATCCTACTTACATTCTCCACTTCAGAAGGGAAGAACCCCAGGCCCAGGAAGGTCTAGTGTAGCAGCTATCCCTCACAGTGAAGGAACTGAGCCAGGCTATGAACCCAGCCGTCCTACACACAGCCCCCTGGCCTTCCCTCTGCATTAGGCACACGTGGCTCCTCAGAAGCACGCTCAAGGACTCAGCTCCTAAAGAAGTCATTCACCCGCCAGAAGCAGGCCCATCAAGCTACAGCAGAAAAGAAATACATTCCCAGGCCAGGGCTCAGCAAGGTTGAGTCTCTGAGACAAATTTCACTACTGCCTATTCTTATAAATAAAGTCTTACTGGACCATAGCCACACCCAGTTACTTAGGAGTCAACTATGACTGTCTGCCTGAGGTAATTTTCACATTCCCATGGAAGAATTGCAACAGGAATGTATGGAGTGTAAAACCTAAAGACACCTCAATAGGTGTCCCTTGGCAGGAAGTTTGTCCCCTACCTTAGATCCACATTGGTCTGGAAGCATCTCATGACCCCAGGGACAGTGTTAGAATCTCTGTGTGGGAGGAGTCCTAACCCTTTGAAATCACGTCATTACTCTGGATGTACGTTCCTTAATGCACCTTTACAGCTTGCTCCTTTCCTCTCGTCTTTTTTTTTTTTCTAGAATATTCTATCCCACCTCAGAGTCACACTATCCCCTGTGTCAATATCCATTGTAGGATAGCGATTCCTCAGCCACCATAAGAGGTGCTGTATGGACATCGGTCTCCTTTTTCTCAGTATCCAGGAACCTGACCACACCCTTGGGTATAACTACATTTAGCAAGATTATAGGAGTGCTTTGATCAACCAAAGATGCTTGAGACCAGGGCAGCTAAGGTTCCTCTCCCATAATTTCACATCTTGGTTCAATCACTCACAGGGAGGAGCTCCTAAGAACTGGTGGACCCCTTAACTGTTCCTTTTCAGACTTTGGCTTTCTGTTTATCTGAAGACTGTCTTTTTTCTTCCTTTCTATCTCCTTCCTTCCTTCCTTCCTTCCTTCCTTCCTTTCTTTCTTTCCTTCTTTCTTTCTTTTTTTGGTTGTTGTTTTTGTTTTTCCAAGACAGTGTTTCTCAGTGTACCTTTGGCTATCCTGAAACTCACTCTGTAGACCAGGCTGGCTCCCCAAAACACAGAGCTCCACCTGCCTCTGCCTCCAGAGCGCTGGGTTTTAAGTCACCACCGCCTGTTGAAGATTATCTTTTTCAAGTCTGGTAGTGATTCCAGGTACAGGTGAAGTCCTCAATAAATACCTTTAAAAGTTAAGTTAGGTGAACCAGTATTTACACTTTAATCATATCTGCCTGACAGAATTGACCCAGAAAAAGCTACAGGGTGGAAGAGCTCAAACGGACATATAATTTGATTCCTTCTGAACAAATTGAGATTAGGGGAGGAAATTCTCCAAATCCATTTTTTAAATGCTGGTGATATGGCTCAGTTAGGAGGCTGCTTGCCTGGCATACACAAAGCCCTGGCACTGACCCTGGCACCACATAAACTGGAAGATGGGAGCAGGAAGACGACAGGTTAAAGGTCAACTTCAGTTGTAAAGCAAGTTCTAGAACAGCCTGGGCAAGATAAGACCCCCATCTCAAAAGTAATCCATACATACTTCATAAAGCAAAACACACATAATTCAGAAAACAGCAGAATCACACCTCATGGATTTAAGACAAGCACCAGAGGCTGATGTTCTGTGGAGTCTCATTGTATGACCTTATTTCTCTAGGATTTGTGTCTTCTTTCTTTGTGACGGTATACTACCTTTATTCTGAAACATTATTAGCCCCTCATCCCCATCCCACACCTTGTGGCTTCTACCTAAGAACCTGTATTTGCCAGTCTGTATTGGAAAAGGTACAGTGACATCGTTCAATGTCTCCAACACAGAACTGACAAGATGTCAGAGCACAGTTTCCAAGCAGGGTCCTATCAAGCTGGATGGTACTGCGGGAACCTGGGAGCCAGAAGGACCCAGGAAATCAAAGAAAACAGAAAATAGTTCCTAGTAGATGTACCACACAGCCGCAGATCCCAGCATCAAACTGTCCATCGGGCATAAAGAGGAATGTTTCTCCTAAACAACAGGAGAAATGAAATCTGCGCCTGCGTAGAGAAATGAAGTTTGCGCCTGCACGAGCAAAGCTATTGGTGGGAATCCTCAGGGTCCCTGAGTCCATCAGTTATCTGTGAACCGATCTCCTCCTCGTGGGTATCACTAGACATCCTGACAAACGGGTGACCCTCAAGATAATAAAGCTCAACTCCCTCGGCAATGGTGAGCGCATTCTCTCTCGGGCAGCTCACTTCACAATTAGGCTAATTCTCGTCAGAAGTCTCACAAGGCTGACTTCCGTGAAGTTGCGGTAAGACAGAAAGATGGAGATATTAGGGGACATAGGGAGAGAAAGCAGCCCTGAGTGGGAATCAGGAAACTTCAACACCTCAATAAAGCCAAAATTACCTACAGAAATAATGTCTGTTTTTCGAAAGGCATTTCAGACAACATGTTAAAGCCATCTCAGGGCCAGAATGCCTATAACCTTGTGTTTTACCATATCAGCCCTCCCCTCTCATCCTAAATCTAAATGAAATCTGTAATCTCATTCACAAAAACCAACTCAGGCACTGAACAAGTGGCTCAGTGGTTACTGTAAACTGTTTTCTCTTGCTTCTCTTGCAGAAGACCCCAGTTCAGTTCCCAGCACCCATGTTGGGCAGCTCCCAACTGCTTGTAACTCCAGTTCCAGGGCATCTGGTGCCTTCTTCTGGCCTACCCTGGTACCCACACACATGTGCACATACATGCACACATACAGATAAATAAACATAAGATAAATCTTTTTCTTCTTTTAAAAATCACTTCTACCTTTATAATTTCATTTACAAAATAAAAACCTATACGATAAGAAAAGTTGGAGCTGAAGAGATGGCTCCGTGGTTAAGAGCACTGACTGTTCTTCCCTGAGGTCCTGAGTTCAATTCCTAGCAACCACATGGTGGCTCACAACCATATGTAGTGGGATCCGATGCCCTGTTCTGGTGTGCCTGAAGACAGTGACGGTGTTCTCATATAAATACAATTTAAAAAACAAAAAACTACCTAAACTAGCCAATTTCGTGTCATCATGACTCATCTGGCAATTCAAGCTTTCCTGACCAGAAGTCCTCAGGAAGTAGGGACCACCTCGGGCTACTTCTGGTCATGTTAAACTGACAAAGCCACATCACTAATGCTTTCCTGTGGCCTGCTTTAATCCATTTTGTCTTAAGTTATCCTGGTCCAACTAAGTCACCGTGACCTCTGACCTAACACCCCCATGCACCCCAAATCATCTTTCATGTGACTTAAGTACTCACATACATAAAATAAATAAATCTAAAAAAAAAAAAATCACCTTCCTGGTATAATGCAATCCCCAGTGCACAAGGATTGTATCAAAACCGTAACTCTGGGTTATTACTTCCCAGAAGATGGGTTCTTGAGATTGGAGACCTGTACTAACCTAAAGGCCTAAGGATGGGTCTGGCCTGGTCTCTGTCATACAGATAGTATAAAGATCATTGGGCTATTAGCCACCTCTGTCCTGGTTGTGATAACTTGGGGGAGCCTCTGGCTATACAGATAAAGTAAGGGTCATTAGACAATTAGTTATCTCTGGTCCTAATTGTGGGAACTTGGGGAGCCCCTGGCTATAAGGGTCATTTAGATTACCAGCCACCTCTGGTCTAGATTGTAGAACTTGATATGCCTGGCCAAACAGATAACGCAGATCACCAGGCTGCTAACCAATTCCAGTTTCCAGCTTTCTAGATAGAAGGTCAGGTTTTCATCTTTCCCATTGGAAAGGCAATCAGTCCAACAGCATTTAACATTCCTAGTCCCCCTGGACCTGGAGATCTATGGGCAAAAGGACCTTCACTCTGTACTCCCAACAGGGGACAGGCTGAAGTATGCAGAAAGGGTTGTCTAGCAGGAGCTGTGAGCTTTGGGGACATGAGGTGGACTTACAGGAAAAAGGCTGGGGGTTAGGGGAGGTAATGCCCTTCCCCCACTCTTCTCCTCGACTTCAATCTGTCAGAACTCTCCATTGGCCAAACGCAATTGGAAGCTTAAGAAAAGGGGGAGCCCATTATTGCAACTTGTAATCCAGCCTGGAGGGGTGCCCCGGTCATGTGTGCCCAGTAAGCATTCTGGTAACAATGCTCAATTTTCTTCTGAGAACTGCCTTCCCACTCTCCTCCCCTGTAATTTAAACAAGAGTGATGGCATCGCTGGCTTCAGGGGAAAGTCACAGGATTCAGGCCTGCCCAAACACAACAACTCAGGCCTCTGATTATACTCACTGGTTCAGAGACAGCCCGCTAAGGACAATGAGGAGCCAGGAAGACAAAAGCTGGCTTCTCTGAAGATGTTAGCTGAGAGTAACTGGAAGCCACACAGCTCTCCAAGGGGAAGCCTAGAGAAAAGAAAGTTTGATTTAAGGAGAAGAAAAACCAGGGAAATAGAAATCTATACCCCGGTGATATTCTGATCACTATTACATTGTCCTGAAACCCATGATGTCCATCCTGGCCTGAAATGGAAAGAGTATTGAAAATATAAGATTCTACAAGATAAAGGCCATTACTGGGGTGTAAGTTTGGACCCTGGCTCCTTTCTCTGCCGTTTAGTTAACACTGGGAAATGCCCCAACTTTATGAAAGTTGACTTTAAACCAGAAATTATAGTGCTTTGTGAACACCTAGTGAAAGACCCCTGAAAAGCATTGTGCAAATGTCACAGATTCTTCCATGGGTCATTCCCACCTTCACGTGTACCATCATGGGGACAGTGTGTTCTAAAGTCAGGAGCACACAACATTCTAAAATTACATCCAGGGCTGAGTAATGACATATTGAAAAGCAGCTGTGAGGATCCCTGGCCGTCTCAACACTGCCAAATGGAGAAGGAAAGAAAGAAATTGACAAGATTGGCTTTATTTGGAACAAGCAGAATGGAATTCACATCTAAGACGCAGAAGGATGAGAAAGAGGTTGTAGACTGAAAACCGATACCTGAAACAGTGTCGGAGCCAGAAGATAACGGGAAACCTGAAAAAGCAGAAGAAATTAGCCCATCCTGGGGGCACTGTGATTCAGGCTGCCACTGTCACAGTTGGGAAGATACAAGTCAAAGGTGGTATGAAATGCAAGATAGTGTGCTTCCTCCCATGCAGCAATCTGCTCAAAGAATACCCATGAAACACCGCGGAAGAATGAAAGCAAAGAAGCCTGTGGGAAAGACCTAAAGCCAGGCTCAAAACTGCAAAAATATCCAAGACCCTGGTGCAAAGGTAGACCCTGGGAGCAAGCAAGGTATCTGAGCAGTCTACCCAGTAGCCAAACCCCATGTGGAAATTCCAAGACTGGAATGGGAAAAATCCACTGCACAGCAAGAAAAGCTCTTACCACAAGGCAAGGGAGAAAAACACGTGTGCAGGCCTCAGTGTTCTTGTCAGTGGCTTGCCGTGCAGATATGAATAACAGACTTGGATGGACCAGTGGTGGTTTTTCCTGGTCCAACAAGTCAATTATATTACAGACAAGAGCCAAAGAGCAAAGGCAGGGAGGGTGTTTCGAATACATTGTAGGCACACTGAACACATAGAATTTTACCAATGACTGGAAAAACCGGAAGACACATCCAACAGAAACTAAGATTTCCCGCAAGGTGATGGTGTATGCCTTTAATCCAAGCACTTGAAAGGTAGAGTCAAACAGAACTCTGGGAGTTCAAGGGCAGTTTGGTCTACATAGTAAGTTCCTGGCCAGCCAAGACTGTATAGTGAGACCCTGTAGCAAAATAAATAAAATGTTTTTACTGTCTCTGGTGAAGAGAAAAAGCAGAATTCTTCCAAAATGTTTGAAAGAAATTAGTTCAAAAATGCTCATCAGCACCTTCTTGCAGAAAAGCACTAAGCTGGGTGCTTGGTTGGGCAAGAGCTGTAAGCAACACCATCATTTTCTTCCCATGGCTAGTAATCCAATCAGAAATGAGAATCTCAATGCCCCATGTTAAGCATTCCCCTCCTGAGGGGTGGGGAAAATGTGCTTATAAGATTCAGCAAGTGGAGTGTACAAAATCCAGGAACTAAACCACACTTACAATGCTCAGGAAGTTCCTGAAAGTTAGAAGATCCACAATGTAGGCTAGACTCTTCCACTAACCCAGATGCCTGCAAGGGAAGCAGACAGCTCCAGGGCTAGAGTTTTTCTGAGTCATTGCTTTCACTGTGGTGGTCTTCTTGATGCTGCAGCTGCTTTTAAGTGACACCTCACCTGTATGTCTGTAAACTACCCAAATTAACTCACTGGTTCACCCAGCCAGACTTGGGCAAAATCATTTCTTCAGTCTATTGTTAATGTCTTGTACATGATAAGCAGACTTGTGGAGAGCTTTGGGGGCTGCTTAGCAAGAATTTGACATTGGGCCAGGACAGGGAAGTAAGCTCAGGCAGGAATCTGATTTTAGGCTAGAACAAAGAAGTAGGCTTCAGGCAAGAGTCTGATTTGGGGCTAGGACAGGGAAGTAGGCTCAGATATCCTGGTCATAAGCCCTTAGAAGCAATGATCATGGGACTCTGTTTATTGCCTTGCTTGTTCCTTGACTACTTGTGTTTATTGTCTTGCTTGTTCCTCGACCTAGAAATGACCTTATTATCTGCATGTAATTAAAATGGTATAAAATCAGACTGGCAGAAAATAAACCCGCCTCAGCCTCAGAACTGGCTGGGGTCATGCTGCAGTGTTGTCTAATTGTCTCTTTTTTCTTTTTAATCCTTGCTCTGGAGAACCTGTTGACTAAGCTGTGTTGGTCACAGACCTTTGTTCACATCTCCACAGGGAAAAAAGCACATAACACATGAAATTTTTCAGTTGAGATGGACCCAGCATAGAAGGCTTAGAGCTGGTGTTTGCTTAATGCAAAGTTACAAAGGGGAGAAACAGATGAGTTTTTCTGCCCCGTCTAAGTGGCTAAAGGAAAGGAGTAAGTCAACTAGGAGAGGTTTGTTGACACCTATTTTGTCACAACTGTAAGGGTGGACTCACGATTCATGAAGAATGATATAAAATAGCATGCAGCAGCAAAGAACATTTATTCTGTAGAGAACTTGCACTCAGGGGTCCACCATACTTCAGGATAGAAGACAGAGGTGTGGATTTAGTAAGGTCAATTTAAAGCCTGCTAAGGTAGGTGTGGAGGACTTTTACCTTTCTTTCCCTTGATTGGTTGGTTCTATCTCCAAAAGTAGGGGTGTCACTGTGATTGGTTAAGGCTCTGGGGGATTTGGAGGACTTTCGCTAATTAACTATACTTGGCTCAAGCTAGGTGGTAGGGCAGCTTCAACAACTCCTGATTGGCTGCCCTAAGGGGTGGTTTTTCTTGGAATTAATTGTTTTGGACTTTTCCAGTTCTGGGAAACAGAAACTTAGGCCTAGTTTCCCAAACTGCCAGTTTGCAGCCTGTCATGGAGTCAGCTGGGCTCTAGCCAACTCTGTCCTCTCAACCACCACCTCTTTTCCAAGGACACATCGCCAAGTCCTAACACTTCTTACAAAATCTTCCCCCTCCCGTGTTGTTGTTGCTCTTTTCCTCTACTGGGCCTTTGTCATCTCTTACCACAACTGCTCTTGGTTACTGTATACTTATATATAAGCTATCTGTCTTGCTGTGACCAAACACCCTATAGAGGCAACTGTTGAAGAAGAGAATAAGTTGGCCTGGGCTCACTGCTTGAAGTTCCAGTCCATCAGGGCAGGGGAGGTGTGAGCAGGAGCATGAGGCAGCTGGTAACTCTGTATCCACAGCCAGGAAGCAAAGAGAGACATACTCAGCTCCTGTTCTTTTTATTCAGTCCCGGCCATAGCCATGGAATGGTTCAGATAATAACTCGGGTGGCTCTTCCCACCTCAATTAACCTAATCCAGACAAAATCCCTCATAGACATGCCCACAGCCTCATCCCTTCAATGATTCTAGACCCAATGAGGTTGATAGTCAATATAAACCATCAGATTTATCATCGAATTCCAGAGAATTCCTCTGATTCAGATAGGAAGACATCAGGATTGGAGAGCGACACTGGGCCTAGCTTGAGCATCTGCAATCTCAAAGCCCACCCTCCATGACACACTTCCTCCAACAAGGTCACACCTACTCCAACAAGTCCATTCATCCTAAATAGTATCACTCCCTATAGGCTTATGGGAGCCATTTTTATCCAGGCAGGCAGGCAATCACATGTAGAACAGATGGTAGCATGAGTGCCATAGGCTATTGAAATTAAAAACTAAAATGTGCATAAAGGCTTAAAGAACCTAGCAGGAGAGATGGGTAGAGATCCAGCTCATTTGCTAGAGTGTTTACCTATGATGCGTGAAGTCCTGGCATGGAATTTTTTTTTAAAGATTTATTTATTTAATGTATATGAGTACACTGTAACTGTGTTCAGACACACCAGAAGAGGGCATCGGATCCCATTACAGATGATTGTGAGGCACCATGTGGTTGCTGGGAATTGAACTCAGGACCTTTAGAGGGGCAGTCAGTGCTCTTAACCGCTGAGCCATCTCACCAGCCCAACATGGGTATTTTTTAATGAACAGTTTTACAATAAATGTTTTCTGTTTTACAAAATACTTTCATTATCAGTCAGAATCAGAATAATGTGGTGGTTTGGACTATTTCAACTGTTTCCTTGTAACTACGATTTACAGAGAGCTTTTTTTTTTAAATCAGTCAGTATTTTAATTTTATCTCAACAAATCACTGGAAATTATAAGTCTGCCCTGAAATAAAGCTGTGGAACGGCAGAGATTAAACTTAAGGTGTTCAGGTGTGGTACACATTGGTCAGAAGGATGGGTCTGCCAGCTTCCTTAAGACAGGTTGGTATCACAGTGGTGAGAGGGGTCAGCAGAGAACGGCGCTTGCCACAAAGCTGATAACTTGAGCTTGAACTCAGACGCCACATGTGGAGAGAAAGGGAACAACTCTCAAAGTTTTTCTCTGACCTCCATGTGCACCGTGGCCTGAGTACACACACACACACACACACACACAATAATAGAGAAGAAAGAAATGTGGTAATTTTTTCAAATACAGACTTGCCCATTTTTATTGACAGTGAGCATCTATGTTCAAGTGATAACTTGTCCCTATGATCCTAAAAGTTCCTTAAACTTAAACCACAAACAGCACCAGTAAAAGCCATGGTTCCATGATACGCCCCTCCAGAGTCTTTAAAGACTGCAAGGACAGAGCAAGCCCTTGCTTAGAGGTTAGGGGGTGCTGTCGCCATGCTGCAACTTAACAGCTTTCTACTTATAGAC